AATGTTCGAACGGTTAAAAATCCAAGACCTCAAAACAGTTTTGTAATTTATCGAAGAAATGTTCAAGCGGAAATAGCCAAAGAAAAAGGTGCCACTGCTGCCGGTAGATTGGATTATGTTTCTAAATTCGCTGCTAATAAATGGAAACATGAATCTCAAGAGGTTAAGGAACTTTATGGCTTTCTCGCTATATGTGCAAAGAAAGTTCATGATTTCATGTATCCTGGTTATGTTTATCAACCTAAAAGACAAGCCACCACAAACGAACCCATGATAATGGTACATGAACCCGGTATAAATGGTTGTAAATTAAGGCAACCCGTCCCAACTCCTCCTGAAACTCCTTTATCATCTCCTCCAACAAGAATGTCAAGGCAATATAGTTCTCCTCCATTATATCAACATCAACAACCTTTACCTCCTCCTCCTCCATTTCTACCTTCAGTTGATCATCATACTCCTTCATTCGGTGCTTTTCCTCCACTTAATCATTTATCTCCTCTTCCTCCATCAACACTTCTTCCTCCATCAACACTTGCTCATCAATCAACACTTCTTCCTCCATCAACACTTGCTCATCAATCAACACTTCTTCCTCCATCAACACTTGCTCATCAATCAACACTTCCTCCTCCATCAACGCTTCCTTCTTCATCAGCACTTCCTCCTCCGTCAACACTTGATATAAATATATCTTCAAATATCATGTCAAATTATGATCGAAGACTATGTAAAGAAATTGACCTTGCTGTAAGATTAAATTAATCTTGCTACGAGGTTACAATATTGCAATATTGTGTTGGGTTATGGGATTACTTACTGTATTGGTATTTGTAAATTATTTTCTATATATATATATATATTTTTGGTTTACCATTATCAACAAGATTAATAGAAAACAAAAGGTTCTTTATTTTTTTCTTGTGTTGCTTTTTCAAAAAAAAATCTTGTCTTTTACTTTGCGTGCAAAAAAAAAAAAAAAAAAAAAAAAATAGGGTGGTTTTTCTGCATTATCAAAGTCAATGTAAATTATTTACCATATACATACTTTTTTTTTAAAAAAAATGCGATAAGCAAAAAAAAAAAAAAAAAAAGTCCCCCCACACGATTCCTATCTTTATGTGATCCTTTGAAAAAAAATATATATATATTCAAGTGTGCATATGTATATAACATTATTACACACTATTTATTCACTATATATCACTATATTTCACTACGAAAAACAGAATAAAGGGTCATTCTTTCATTTATTTCCAAACAAAAATATCATATATATATATATTCAGCATTTAACAATTTTAACACAGAGTATTTTAATCACAAGCATTCATTTTCTTTATTAAAATATCGTAACGCATATATATATGTAACAAGCGAACAAGCACGCATTTGTTTTTCTGGTTAAAAAAAAAACAATTATATATATCTCTTTTTTTATTTATTCTGTATTATGACATTGAAAAAAAAGACAATTATGACCAAGAATTCAAATAAAAATCAAAGTATTATGTGCCGTAAATGTTGATTAAGAAAGGTGGGAATATGTGATTCTTTAACTAGATCATTTTCTCAATGCAAACCGTTCCTATATCAACAGTAAATACTTAATCTTTAGTAAATTTTTGTAATGTTCTTTAATATTCTTTAATGAATTTTGTAATGTTCTTTGGTTAATGTTCTTTAATATTCTTTGATGAATTTTGTAATATTCTTTGATGAATTTTGTAATATTCTTTAATGAATTTTGTAATATTCTTTGATGAATTTTGTAATATTCTTTAATGAATTTTGGTGAATGTGGAATTTTGTACGTACGTACGTAAGTAGTCAGAATTTTCTGTAGCAAAAATACTCCATATACTGACGCGTGCGTACATTCTACTTTTGGAAGTCGAGGCTCGTCAAAGATCACCAGACACTTTTTTTACTTTTTTAATAACGAAATTACGAAATTATGCATTTTTTTATCCGTGCGTTAATAAGTACTTTTGCCGGTGCTAAAATTATTTAGTATTCCCCCCTTGAAACTAAAAACTAATCTAACTTTTACGCATATCGCCATAGTCGCCATAATGATCGATGATGATTCTCTTGTTTCATTTTTTATTCATTTTT